GTCTCGCTCTGTCGCCCAGGCTGGAGTGCTGTGGCCGGATCTCAGCTCACTGCAAGCTCCGCCTCCCCGGTTCCCGCCATTCTCCTGCCTCAGCCTCCCGAGTAGCTGGGACATAGTGTTTCTATGTTATGACAACTACAGAAGCTGTGAGGGAATGAAAACTTCCAAAATGCAGAAGTTCAAAGATTTAGAGGAGGACAACACATTTAGTTTTATTTCAATCAAATCACAACACTTTCTTTTCCAACTGCTGCAAAGTGCATCTACAATATTCTATTACAGATCCACTTTTAAAAGGTTTCCTGTGACATTACAGCAAGCCTCTTTTTTCAAACAGAGGAATAATCCCAAATTCTTCCTCAAATAAAAATAACTCCATTCCAGTAAATGGTAAATACATAAAAATTACAGTAAGCCAGACACTTAAAAGGACAGCCAAGAAGTCTTCCAACAGTTTATTAGAAAGAATGTAGACATTTAAAAAAATCCCCACTGTCATGAACATAAATTGAGGTTTTCAGCCCTGGTATAAGCTGAATCAAAAAAAGAAATAAAAAATCCAATAGTGTATTAAACATTTTTCACTCATTTGCCATACTTGACAGTGCAAATACAAATCTGGTCTAAATGTACAGACTCTCAAGCAACAATGTACAGCTTTCTTCGTCCTCCATGCTAAGAGATGTAAAAGCTTAAGGGTCAAACAATACCAAATGTATAGGCTTCAAAAACCATCTAAGTTAGGGCATTCTCTAGTTTTAGCTAAGATACACCTGGAACACTGACAAGTGATCACTTACATAGAATAATGTGAAGTAAATTTTTTGAAAAATAAATTTTAGTGGAACAATCCTGAAGGAACACCAGGAGAACAGCAGGTTACCAGTAAGGTGTCAGCCAATTTGTTCCAGCCACTTTTGAATCCATGTCCTATAATCTAAAATTTAGTTATCTTTCCCTAAGCTGAGAGCTTCCTATCATGTCAGTATCTATGTTATGAAGAAAAGGAGACTTAGGTGAGATGTTTCTATTTATCACAACAGCTGCATCAATTGCTTAGGACCTCAACAGCTTCATGAAAGTCTGGGAAATGTTCATGCATAAGGTTATTGCCTTAGCTGACTTAAAATTGCCCCATACAATGGTACATATCAACCCTTAGTGAAGCCTTTTAAAAAACAAACAGGTTGAAAAATGGGTTAAAGTAGGCAAATACAGCATCTGCCTTTAGAGCTATCAACTCAGGAATTCTCTCAATTATGAAATCTTGCAGAGAAGTTATTTTTCTTTCTCAAAATCCAAGTGATGACAATACTCCTTACTCCAGATCTGGCATTTCTGAAAGAATTGTAAAAAATATTAGTATAAAGTACATGGGAATAATCTACCAATTTTAATATCTTAAAGGAAAAGCAACCAAAAATTGAATTATATAGTTCCCCAGGTAAATTAATAGGTTGTCTTGCTATCTCAAGTTATTCACATTTCTGCTTTAGTTATTTATTCAAGGTCATAAAGAAAAAATTACTTTTTTTCAAAAGAAGTTAACATCTCTATTTTGAGTTTGGTTTTTGATGCAAAATATCACTGTGTAAACATACTTTTTATATACACTTACTTTCATCATCACTGTCTTGTGAATCCTGAAAGAGGGAAAATAAAGTTACCGAACTGATCAAATACTTGTTTGCTAACTGAACAGTTTACCTGAATAGTTCAAGCGCTATTATTTTTGACTAAAGTAGCACAGGTAGGTAGCTATACCAAGCCTAGAAATTTAGTCATTGGACTTAAGACTAGGTTTAACCTAAGGTGAATGGATGTACAGCAGAGGATCTATCTACCTGTAAAAAATAGTGTGCGCCTTTTGGTGACAGTTTAGCCCACCCTTTGAATACATTCCTAAATTAACCTATGTCAGCATTCAAGAGAAAACATGGATCAATATGAAGAAAAATAGATTGACAGAAGACAGTGAACTCTAATCCTAGCTGTTGAGTGAATATTATGTATTTTTCTAAATAGCATTAAATAACTTTCTGGGAGATGTTAACAGGATGCTGGGGTTGACAAGATGTTGAGAATAGTTGTTTATTATATCCTCATCCTCCTCTTACAGATTTACAATGTCCATCTGTTTTGTTTTGGGTTTTGTCTTTTTTTTTTGGAGATGGAGTCCTGCTCTGTCGCCCAGGCTAGAGTGCAGTGGCGAGATCTTGGCTCACTGCAACCTCCGCCTCCCGGGTTCAAGCGATTCTCCTGCCTCAGCCTCCCAAGTAGCTGGGATTACAGGCACCCATTTTTGTATTTTTAGTAGAGACAGGGTTTCACTATCTTGGCCAGGCTGGCCTCAAACTCTGATCCACCCGTCTCCGCCTCCCAATATCCATCTGTTTCATCGGTCTCTGACCAATCCTGACATAAAACCTATTTAATTTACTTTCTTAGTCAAAATAATCCCTATAAACTGACTTTTTTTTTTTTTTTTTTCCTTGAGATGGAGCCTTGCTTTGCTGACCAGGCTAGAGTGCAATGGTGTGATCTTGGCTCACTGCAACCTCCGCCTCCCTCGTTCAAGCGATTCTCCTACCTCAGCCTCCCCAGTAGCTGGGATTACAGGCACCTGCCATCATGCCTGGCTAATTTTTGTAGAGACAGGGCTTCACCATGTTGACCAGGCTGGTCTCAAACTCCTGACCTCAGGTAATCCACCCACCTCGGCCTGCTGGGATTACAGACGTGAGCCACCTCGACCAGCCTAAACCGACTGTTATAATTGAGTAAGGTATTACTACGTAATGTCTCTATACAATGATTCTTTGGAAATGTGATCCATTTAGGAATGGTCTACGGCAAAACCAGTTCCCTAATAAGATACCCATTCCTCAAAAATGGGCACATTTTAAAAATTGCTTTTCCTTTTTTTTTTTTTTTTTTAGAAAAGTAGTAATCCTGAATCTATATAAAACCATTTGTAAATATGTTGTTTACTATTTAATAGTATGAAAGTAAACAGAAAAAAACTTTTAGACTTACATCATCTGCTCCATCTACTTCTGGTAAATCTACATCCTCATCACCACCCATGTTGTTCATCATCTATTTGAAGTGTAAAAATTAGTTTTAAAAATGATGTTAAGTTAGGCCCTAATTATTAATGCTGTATGCTTCAGAATAAACCTTAGGTCTGCCACGGATATCCACAAATGAAAAATGCAAAATAAATGTAAGCATCTTCCCTTCTGGAAAAGGAAGATTATAAGCAATTACACAAAGTTCTAAAAACCTATACGGAAATTAAAACTAAATTTTCCCTAAAGAAAAGCAAAGGTTTTAGATATTGTGAAGAACCAATAAATGATTTAAACCTAAACTATTACCAGATGATGAGGAACTTATTTTCTCAAGTTTAAACCATTTCTGTAATGTTTATATTTTAGAAAAATAAAATCACATATGCATGGAAAAAAATCAGATTTCAAAAATACATGATCACTCAGATTTTACAATTGGAAGGGACCTTTTTTCTTTTCTTGAGATGGAGTATCACTCAGTCACCTAAGCTGGAGTGCAGTGGCGTGATCTCGGCTCACTGCAAGCTCTGCCTCCCGGGTTCACGCCATTCTCCTGCCTCAGCCTTCCCAGTAGCTGGGATTACAGGTACCTGCCACCACGCCCGACTAATTTTTTTGTATATTTAGTAGTAGATAAGAGTTTCACTGTGTTAGCCAGGATGGTCTTCATCTCCTGACCTGGTGATCCGCTCACCTCGGCCTCCCAAACTGCTGGGATTACAGGTGTGAGGCACCACACCCAGCCTGGAAGGAACCTTAAAAAGATTAAGTCAAACATACAATGGAATGTGTTCATCCTAAAAGTAGGGATTATTCAGCCTTAAAAGAAAAAAATCTGCCTTATGTGACAAAACACAATGAAGAATCTGAAGCATGTCATGTTATGTGAAATAAGCCAGTCAGGGACAAATACTGCATGATTCCACTTATATAAGATACCTAAGATTATATGAGATACCTAAGATAGACACACAAAAATAGAGAGAATGGTAGCTGCCAGGAGTTGGAGGGAAGGGAAAATGCAGACTTGCTACTGTTAAATAGGTATGAAGTTCCAGTTACACAAAATGCATAGTTCCAGAGACCTACTGTACAGCATTATGCCTATAGTTAACAATACTGTATCATGCACGTAAAAGTCTGTTAAAAGATAGCTGGGCATGGTCAGGTTCGGTGGCTCATGCCTGTAATCCCAGCACTTTGGGAGGCCAAGGCGGGTAGATCACTTGAGGTCAGAAGTTCGAGGCTAGCCTGGCCAACATGGTGAAACCCTGTCTCCACTAAAAATATAAAAATTAGCCGGGCGTGGTGATGGGAGCCTGTAATCCCAGCTACCTGGGACGCTGAGGCAGGAGAATTGCTTGAACCTAGGAGGTGGAGGCTGGAGTGAACTGAGATCGTGCCATTGCACTCCATCCCGGGCAACAAGAGTGCAACTCCGCCTCAAAAAAAAAAAAAAAAAAATAGCCAGGCGAGGTGGCTCACTCCTGTAATCTCAGCACTTTGGGAGGCCAAGGCGGGTGGATCACGAGGTCAGGAGATTGAGACCCACGGTGAAACCCCGTCTCTACTAAAAATACAGAAAATTAACCGGGCGCGGTGGCAGGCGCCTGTAGTCCCAGCTACTCGGGAGGCTGAGGCAGGAGAATGGCATGAACCCAGGAGGTAGAGCTTGCAGTGAGCTGAGATCACGCCACTGCACTCCAGCCTGTGCGACAGAGTAAGACTCCATCTCAACAAATAAATAGTCTGTTAAAAAGAGTAGATTTCATGTGAAGTGCTCTTACCTCAATTAATTAAACACAAAAGGATTCAGTATAAAAATTTGGGGCAATCTATCTTGAATGAAATGAATAACTGGGAAAGAGTTTCCCTACCTTGAAAAGCACTACTGAATACTTTTAAGTTTCTTTGGGCAGAAAAATGCTAAATGTACCAAGTGCAACGCTACTGTGTTTAAGATAAAACAGCAAGAGAAAATTGAACATATTCAAGAGATATTCAGGAGGTAACAAAAACTGGACAACAAAGATAGCAAAAAAAACAAAAACAAAACAAAACAGTGTTACAAGGCTGGGGGCAGTGGCTCAGGCCTGTAATCCCAGCACTTTGGGAAGCTGAGGCAGGAGGATCACTTGAGCTCATGAGTTCAAGACCTGCTTAAGCAACACAATGGCTTGCACAACTAGGTAAACTGTGGCACCAACTGCTACACGTAAGGTACAATTAAAAAATACTAATAATATGAATAGAACATCTTCCCTTCCTGTTGAAATCACCGTGCCAGAGTCATGTGCGGAGAATTGTTAAATAAGCAGTTGCATACGTAAAGCTAGACACTTAGCTGTTTTTATTTAACTCTTAAGGTCTCAAAATACAAAATCTAGTTAATGAAAAATTTCAAATAGCAACAAGAAATGGATTTCATGAGTATGCATTCAATTTACACACTAATGTTCTTTTTGTAGTTTTATTCTTTTTTTTTTTTTTTTGGGAGACGGAGTCTTGCTCTGTCGCCCAGGCTGGAGTGCAGTGCAGTGGTGTGATCTCAGCTCGCTGCAACCTCTACCTCCTGGGTTCAAGCAACTCTGCCTTAGCCTCCAGAGGAGCTGGGATTACAGGGGTGCACTACCACGCCCAGCTATTTTTTTGTAATTTTAATTATTTATTAATTTAGAGACAGTGTTTTGTTCCTGTTGCCCAGGCTAGAGTGCAATGGCGATCTCGGCTCACCGCAACCTCCACCTCCTGGGTTCAAGTGATTCTCCTGCCTCGGCCTCCCTAGTAGCTGCAATTACAGGCATGCACCACTATGCCTGGCTAATTTTGTATTTTTAGTAGAAACAGGGTTTCTTCATGTTGGTCAGGCTGGTCTCGAACTCCCAACCTTAGGTGATCCGCCTGCCTCACCCTCCCAAAATGCTGGGATTACAGGTGTGAGTCACATGCCCAGCCCTATTTATTTTTTTTTTTTTGAGATGGAATCTTGCTCTGTCGCCCAGGTTGGAGTGCAGTGGAGCGACCACGGCTTACTGCAACCTCCACCTCCTGGGTTCACACGATTCTCCTGCCTCAGCCTTCTGAGTAGCTGGCATTACAGGCACACGCCACCACACCCAGCTAATTTTTGTATTTTTAGTAGAGGGGAGGTTTCGCCATGTTGGTCAGGTTGGTCTGGAACTCCTGACCTCCTGATTCGCCCGCCTCGGCTTCCCAAAGTGCTGGGATTACAGGCATAAGCCACCGCACCCAGCCTATGATTCTTGTGTTTAAAAGTTTATAGTCATATTTTTTAGACCAAGTCCCGCTCTTTCACCAGACTGGAGTCCAGTGGCACGATCTCAGCTCACTGCAACCTCTGCCTCCAGAGTTCAAGCAATTCCCATGCCTCAGCCTCAGGAGTAGGTGGGACCACAGGGACACGCCACCACGCCCAGCTTATTTTTTTTGTATTTTAGTAGAGACGGGGTTTCACCATGTTGGCCAGTATGGTCTGGATCTCCTGACCTCGTGATCCGCCAGCCTTGGCCTCCCAAAGTGCTGGCCTCCTCCCAAAGCGCCTGGTCAAAAGTTTATAGTTTTATTTTATGGCTTCAAAATCCAAGTCAACTACTGCAATCATGCTTTAAAAAAAAAAAAAAATCCCAATGATGAAATTAGGAAATTAGCAAACTAGCTGTGTTAGTCTTAATACATTAATTTTCGCAGTTAACACTGATTCCTTTTAAAATCATTAAAATGGTCTTAAAAATAACACGCATCATGAATATGTGCCCAAAACCAAATTAAATTGACTACAGACAGGTACTGTGTACTTCGAGTGGGGAGACATCCATTTAATGGAACTTACCTCAGAAAAACGATCAAAATTAGACATGTCTTCATCTGAATCATCTTCCCAGTCTTTCCAATTATTGAAGTCGACACTAAGCCAATTAAGCTATAAATCAATACAAACATCACCCTAAGGTTAGGTTAATTTGCATTTGGCATGAACCTTAAGACTGCATTTTCTTTTCTTCTAAAGAGACCAAGTCTTGCTGTGTTGTCCAGGCTGGAGTGCAGCAAGCATTCACAGGTGCAATCCCACTATTGATCAATGTGAGTTTTGATCAGCTCCATTTCTGATCAAGGGTCTTGTTAACTCTTCAAGCAACCTGGTGGTCCCCGCTTCCTGGGACACCACCATACTGATGTTAACTTAGCATGGCTACCTGACTGACATATGGCATTGCAACCCAGAATTGGGCGCAAGTAATTCTCCCACTTCACCCTCCAGCGTCGCTTTTAACTACAACAGGCACACGGCTACTGGTCCCTGGCAAAACAACATTTTTTGAACTGCGACTTTGTATTTTTATGAGGGCATGTAATTAGCACACAAAGAATAGACTAAGCTAAATGGGGTGGCTTACACCTGTAACCCCAACACTTTGGGCGGCCACGGTGGAAAGATTGGTTGTGTAATCCTTCAGGAGTTCGAGACAGCCTGAGCAATAGTGTATCCTGTATCTGGGGAAAAAACAAAAAAGCAAAGTTCCTGGGCGTGGTGGCACATTCCTATAATCCTAGCTATTTGGGAAGCTGAGGTGGGTGGGAGGATCGCTTAAGCCCAGGTGGAGGCTGCAGTGAGCCATGTTCACACCACTGCACTCTCGCATGAGTGGCATGAGACTATCTCACTATCTTAAAAAAAAAAAAAAAAAAAAAAAAAA